TCTCCAGAGGATCTTCCTGACTCAGGGATCAAACCCATGTCCCGTGCATCTCCTACATTGGCAGGTGGATTCTTTTACCACTGGGAAGCTATGGTTGGGATTCATGTGCATTTTAATGTATCTCCCAACATGTGTAGGCTCATGGGGAAAAATATCCCATTTGATTTACTTTAAATTATTAGCCTCAAAATTTTTTGTCATTGTTAGTACAAACTAGCACTGATTTCCCAAGCGATGGTGACTTGAACTGATCTTCTGCAAACTGATGTTGGTCTATGAGGGATGACATCAAACCGTCTTTGCTCTGGGCCGAGGGCTCTGTCAGGATTTGACCGTGGCAGTTACAGGAGCCTCCCTCTGGGTAGGACTTGAACTTGAGGCGGTCATTCAGACTCTGTGTGGCTGGGCTTTCACCATGCAACCTTGGGCAGGCCCTTTAACCTTCATCTTTGAAGTGGAGACCAGTCCTTATTGTGCTGAGTTATTGTGAAGATGAAATTAAAAGAGACTTGCTCCTTGGAAGGAAAGCTATGACCAACCTAGACAGCATATTAAAAAGCAGAGACATCACTTTGCCAACAAAAACGTCCATATAGTCAAAGCTGTGGTTTTTCCATTAGTCATGTATGGATGTGAGAGTTGGACCATAAAGAAGGTTGAGCACCAAAGAATTGATGCTTTTGAACTGTGGTGCTGGAGAAGAGTCTTGGGAGTTCCTTGGACAGCAAGGAGATCCAACCAGTCCATCCTAAAGGAGATCAGTCCTGGGTGTTCATTGGAAGGACTGATGTTGAAGCTGAAAGTCCAATACTTTGGCCAGCTCTTGCGAAGAGCTGACTCATTAGAAAAGACCCTGATGCTGGGAAAGATTGAGGGCAGGTAGAGAAGGGGACGACAGAGGATGAGATGGTTGGAAGGCATCACCGACTCAATGGACATGAGTTTGAGTAAACTCAGGGAGTTGGTGATGGACAGGGAGCCCTGGCGTGCTGCAGTCCATGGGGTCGCAGAGAATTGGACACGACTGAAGCAACTGGACAACCACCACAATAAAAGGCTACTTGCTGTGAAGTGTATAGAGGTGGCTTTCTCATTTCTTTTATTTCTTATCTTGAGGAGGATCTTAGATTTAATAGGTGCTATGTAGGCCTCTTCGGTTAGACCTATTGGTCGTTCTTTCATTTGGGAGTTGTGCTCTTTGTGATGGCGCCCTTACCTGCCCAGGCTGATCTATGGGAAAGCCCTTAAATCTCCTTTATTGCAGGGCCTGGCACAGGGCAGAGGTGCCACTCACGGTTCGGTTCTCGTGGTCGCCTTGGCCGCCCACTGCCGTCAGGACACATCTGGTTTCTGCTCTCCATCCCTGCCCCCGTTCTGCCGTGATCCCCACAGGCCTCTTGCTTGCTGAGCTTTCGTCCTGAGCCGTCCTCCCCCTGGCTTCCAGCAGGAACAGGCTTGCGGTCCAGAATGAGGAAAGAAATCAAATCCGACCTGACATTCAATTGTGATCTTGTGGTTGTCCAAAGAGAGTACTTTACTTACTCAGCCTGATGCTTCAGCCAAAAGGGGAATGCATCCCCTGCAGAGGGCTCCCCGGTGGAGGAGCGCCTGGCCGGGCCGCGGCGGGTGAGAGAGGAGGGCGGTGAAGCGGCGCCGTGTCAGCCTCCCAGAAGGCGCTCCCAAGGGAGGGCTGCGCTGAGCGCGGGGCACAGCCCGCTGTGAGCCGGCCAGGCCAAGGCCCCCTCTGTGCGCATAACAGTCAGAGACAGAGACTCTTGTTGGAACCCTTGCACGATGGCCCATTTTGCTGAAGCTGGAATCTTTACAATGACCTCAAAGGAGCTGCAGGATCTCCTTACCTTTTTACTGATGTTTTTATATTGAGATCACGTTGCTTTTTTCTCAGTTAAACGCGCACACACAGAAGAGCACAAAGAATAATATTACAGTTCCTGGTTGTCGTAACATTCTGACATGCGTGTGTGTTAAGTCGCTTCAGTCATATCCAACTCTTTGGGACCCCATGGACTGTAGCCCACCAGGCTCCTCTGTCCATGGGATTCTCCAGGCAGGAATACTGCAGTGAGTTGCCGTGCCCTCCTCCAGGGGTTCAAACCCTCGCCTCTTATGTCTCCTGCATTGGCAGACAGATTCTTTACCACTAGTGCCATCTGGGAAGACGTAGTTCCTCCATACTTTCTATTCTTATTATAAAGTGAATAAACATTATAGATAAATTCCAGATTTCCTGTCTTTCCGTTCCTATTTTCATTTCCCTCCTTGCTTCCCTGGAGGCGGTCGCTGTCATTAATTTGACATATGATCAGTGTATGTGCCGGGTTTAGTCGCTCAGTCGTGTCCAAGTCTTTGTGACCCCATGGACTGTAGCCCGCCAGGCTCCACTGTCCATAGGATTCTCCAGACTAGAATACTGGAGTGGGTAGCCTTTCCCTTCTCCAGGGTATCTTCCCAACCCAGGGACTGAACCCAGGTCTCCTGCATTGCAGCTGGATTCTTTACCATCTGAGTGATCTGGGAATGATCAGTGTATATAGTGTGTAGCTTTATTGCACAGATAACTATTCATGCATAATATATGGAATCATTGTATGTGTTAAAATTTTTTTCATGAATGACATTATACTGTATGTAAAATTTTACAGCTTGCGTTTTTGATTTATTTATTTTGGGCTTGAGTTTCTTTTTTAAGGAATCCAGGTTGATATATACAAATCTGGTTCTGTCATTTTAACTGCAGCTCTAAGTGGCAGGCTCACTCTCTCTCTTGGGTTCAGAATATGTATCCCAGAGAAGGCCTTGAGTTAGCCTGGCATGGGTCACATGCCAGTCCCCGATGGATCAGTTTGTGGGTTCAGCAGTGTGGCTGGGATGGCTGGAGTTGTGTGCACACACCTCCTGCCCTGGGAGCAACAGACTGCAGCTCCCGCCAGGGTCATGTGCATCTGAAGGCTTGTTACAGGAAGAAGTGGAAAAGGGTTTGGGGCAGGGGGAAACAGAGATTGCCACGTGAGTGTCAGCCTTGAGCTTGGACATCAGGTCCTCTGGGGAGCCTTCTGTGGCTCCTTAGATCATGCTCTGTGCCCTTGCCCTTAACGATTATTGAAACTTTTGTCATAGAGTGTATTAATTGGGAAGATGCCCTGGGAGAAGAAAATGGCCACCCACTCTAGTATTCTTGCCTGGGAAATCCCATAGACAGAGGAGCCTGGTGGGCTACAGTCACAGGGTCACAAAAGGGTCAGACCCAGCGCTGTGAGTAAGCAGCAGCACCAACCACAGGCAGTGCTTGCCCTCCTCCCGGGCGCCCTCCCTGGGCCGCGGGGCCTCTGTTCTGCGCCCGCCCCTCCGCAAGCGGAAGGCCTGAGGTTTGCTCCTCCACAGGTTTGCTCCTGGGTGAGTCCGAGTAACCCTTTCAGCCTTACTTCTTATAAATGTGCTCCCGCCAGGGGATCTTGTGTGGCCGTGGCAGCTTTGTACCTGCCTTGCAGGCCCATTAAATTCTGGACTTTTTTCCACATCATTTGATTTGCGTGGGTGACCTGGCCCTGTTTTGGATTTTCTTTTTCTTACTTAAGGGTGAAAATTCAAGAGAAGATGAAATTGCTGAAACGCAAACTCAGACTTTGTAAAATCTTTTGAGTTGAGCCCTGCCAACCCTTTTCCATCCCACTGTCCCCTTAGCTTTCACAGTTCCTTTCCAACCTCAAACGTGCCATCAGCAGTGTTTGTCATGCAGATTTACTCCTGAATACCTTGTTTTAGCATCAGAAGAATGTGGGTTCGGTGAATGTAAGCTTTATTTGGAAGTAGGCTTAGCAACCAGAAATGGTCACAGCAGTCACCGGTTACTGAGTGCTGACTCTGAGCCAGCTGTGCAGATGTAGGTGCCATCTTCATGCCTGTTAAACAGGTGAGAAAGCGGGGGTTTGGAGAACTCAGTGGTGCACTCAGGTTCTCTCAGCTCTGGACTGAGGGAACCAGAGCCAACCCCCCTGAGAGCCATGTTCTGCTGCCTTTTGTAATCAGGAAAGAGTGAAGCAGGGGTTTGCTAATAGAAAAGGGCATCAAACTGATCACAGATAAGGAGTGGAGTTTTTTCCATAAAGCTTTGGTAAAGATGAAGAGCATGAGGAGGTATCAACCCAGATCCTAGAACAGTAACCCCACAGCCTTGGTGAGGCAAGGGGAGTGAAGCTGTCAGTGGTCCTGAAGCCTTGTCCCTGGCGAAGCTCGGCACCGTGGTTCCCAGCATGTGCAACAGAGAAGCGCAGGGCGCCCAGTGCTCTTTCTGCCTCCAGCACGCCCTGTAGCCCTGGGACTCTGGCTGTCATTTAACTGGGGATACTTTGAATATGTGGATAAACATTTAGACGCACAGTAAATTTCACTTAGGTTACCTACAAGAAGCAAAACTGACGTTGTGGGAGACATGACTGGAAAAATTTATAACCGGCAAGCAGTGGTATCTGATTATATGCTGCTGTTATTTTTAAGGTACATGCAAGGCCACTGAGCGTGCTTCTCTGTGTGCTGTTTTTAAATCCATATTTTCAGGGGCTTTTGTTTAAGTTCAGTCTAGATCTTAGTGTCTGTCTTCCAACCCTGTATTTACTCTAAGGTCTTATATTGTTTAGCTTTGAATTCTCTTTCCATGAATGTGTTCAGGAACATGACCCCTGTGGTTGAAGGGATTACGGGTATCACTAAACCTGATAAGATAATCTGTGCTCTTTGTCACCTGTCTCCTATACTAGGTCACTGTAAGCACCTTCCTGGGGGACACTATTTCCTGCCTTGGTAATGCTTTAATCCTTTGCTCAGTTCTGTCTAAATACTCTTGGTTTAGATTTGAATAATGGTGCTAATTGCATAGCGAGTCTGTGTTCCCAAATGAGGTTAACTTGTTTCTGTCTGTGGAAAGCAGTTACAGGGTAAAGGATGCTATGAGAACTGAACTATGGTTTTTAATCCCCCTGTAGGTCGCGTCACAGCGCATTAGCTCGGTGGACCTCTCCTGTTGTAGCTTGGAGCATCTGCCTGCCAACCTCTTCTACAGCCAGGACCTCACTCATCTCAATTTAAAACAGAACTTCCTAAGGCAGAATCCCAGTCTACCAACTGCAAGGGGGCTCAGCGAACTGCAAAGGTGAGCATGCAGAAGCGGGAGGATAATTAGGAAGGGGAGGAGATGTCAGCTTCTGATTGTTTCTTGACTATTTTGAGTGAAAATGCTGCAGTGGGTAACCTTTCTCTTTCAGAGGGCCTGGTAGTAGGACTTTGGTAGTGAAGACACTATCAGTTCTCATTCTGAAATTTTTTTCATGGTCCCTGCCTTTGAAATGAATGATTTAGATATTCATTAACTGGATACATTTGTACAAGAAGAACACTTCTCCTAAACCACTTGTATTTCTTAACCAATCTACAAATGCATCTGGGATTGATATTTGGTGTGTTACTTCTGAACTATAGGGGTTTGGTCAGATACTTCTTTGAAAATTTACAAAAAGGTCAGTTTTTTCCATGAAAAGATGTTTCCTTCAAAATCTAAGAACTAAAGTTTAAATCCATTAATACCACATCATCTGGGTGATTGGTGTATAGGTTTCAAGAGTCACATGGTAAATGAAAAGGGTCTGCTCTTTCATAACTAGAGGGCGGGGACTTTACATCTTTGTGAAACAGATTGAAGGATGTACCAAATTAATTTCATTTTCTTTTTTTTTTTTGATCAATCTTGATTCTTGTAAATAAATAAAGCCTTTGATGCTTACGTATTTGTTGCAAATATATGAGACAATAACTCCAGAAGGATATAACTTTTAAAGAAAGAACGAATAGTTCATTTGTTTGTAAATGCCTGTTAATGATCAGAGATTTAGCTATGATCATCAATCATTGTGATTATGTGTTTATGATCTTTAACATCTAGAAAGAATAATCCATTAAGTATTAATATGAAGTTTGTGTGGATATGTTAGAGAAGGGAAGAGTGTTTCAATTGTCTTTTCAGATGACTGTGAATATTCTTCTTTGATATGCTCAGTTGCTAAGTTGTGTCCGACTCTTCGTGACCCTGTGGATTGTAGTCCGCCAGGCAAGAATACTGCAGTGGGTTGCCATTTCCTTCTCCAGGTGATATTCCTGGCCCAGGGATTGAACCTGGGTCCCCTGCATTGCAGGCAGATTTAAGTGGTAATTTCTTACATGTGGATTTCAATGTGGAATGTAAAACCCTTTCAGTAGAATTTTAAAATTCTTTTACATTAGGATCCACTGGTGTTTCTCGCACTTCGAATGGATCTTTGCCCATACGTCATTTCATTGCATTAAGTATTGGTCATTTGGAAATACTGGTTTGTTGGCATGATACAGATATTCCAAATGTTAACATTCTTCATTATGAAGTTTCAAGGAATGGCCACTGTTAATATCACCACTGATCTCATCAGAAAAAATCTTGAAGTATTGGGAAGTTGTCAGGCCCACTGGGGAAACGAGTTTTCCAGCATTTTAAATTTCAGTTGAAAGCTTGAAGGCTACCCTTGGCAACGAATGCTGTCAGTTGTTTTTCCTGAAGTGACCTTCTCACTTCATTGTAGAGAAAACGTCTGCCAAGTACCCAAGTCTGAATACTGAGTTTGTCAGTTGTGCTTTCAAGTGAAAGTGGTGTTCCATGAACATTGTGACCAGTTTGACTCACAATTCAAATAATCATACAAGTGTTTTCCTTGGGATAATGGTACACTGAATGTGGCAGAGTGCTTTATGTGCACTTCCCATTTTATCACCCAGAAGATGAAAAAGATGCACACAAGGGTCGAGGTGTAATACATGTAACTGTCTTGCCTCCTCATGTGCAATTTTAAAGTAAAATTGGTGTTACGCATTTTTTAAGAGAGTATTTTGGCTCTGAATGACGGGCAGAGAAGAGTCCTGTGACAGTAGAAGCAGTTTGGTGCCTCAGTGAACTGGCCCCCCGGGCAGTAAGAACCCCAGAAAGGTGTGCTCACGCACTTCCTTCTTCCCTGGAACTCCGGGTACGGTGAAGGGGAACCACAGGGGACTTCTGAGCTTAGGTGTTTATATGCCCTGTGCACTGATGACACTATTTTTACTGACTCTCCTGTAATAAAGTTACTGTGATTTTTTTTTTTTTTTTTTGCTAAAGGGTAATATCATGATTTAGTCTGTTTTGGGCATTTGAAATTTTTATTTGAAGTATTTTTGTGTATTTCCCATCAAGAATTTTGCATCATGCTATTCAGTCCTGCCATCTTAGAACAGAAAGGGGCATTAGAATTTATCCAAACCAGCACTTTCATCTTAGAGACGAGGTGGAGGAAGATGTGAAATGCCAAAATCAGATTAACATTTACCTTCTGGGAGGCGGTTAAGGGGATGTGATTCAGGAATGGTTTGAAGAGGGTTTCAACTACATCCATAATGTTTATTTCTTTAAAAAAAAAATTAGAGACAAATAGGCAAAGTGTTAAAAATGTTAATATTTGAAAAGCTGAATAGTACATACTAGAATGATCATTATTGTTTTCTGTATTTTCCTATTTGTATATTTCATAATAATCCAAAAATTAAAACCTAAACAAAAAGAAAATCAAAATGCTCCTAATAACATAGGGAAATATGATAGCCCCAGAGTCAACATTTATGGACTAAATAAATAAATCTCTGGGTAGAGGGGTCTCGGGGGGCATTGCCTTGCCTATTGATGTTTTAGAAGCTCCCGATCAATCCCCCGTGTCTATTGATTCCAAATCTGTAAATAGCTTTTCAGTGCATCCTCCCTTCTCCTCTGCTCCCCACCGCTCAGCACACAGCCTCCAGCCGGCTGTCAGCTCTCGGCTGGCCTGCTGCAGAAGCTGTGGAGGAGCGGTGTCTCGCCGCCGCTTTCCTGCTGCAGGCCGCCCTCCTTAGTTTTCTTGCCTTCTGTTTTGTGCCTTTCTTGGTTTGTCTCATATTTTAAAAAATTTACACTTTTGTCCCATCAAAGTAATATTTTATATAAATTTGTACGAAATCTTGCAGTAAGACAAGAAATAGGTGCTTGGAACTCCAGCCCCTCCTACCACGTCCTGTCCGCTAGACAGCTACTTCTGACCCTCAGGGCTCCCTGCCTGCTGTCTTCTCCATCTTCCCAGATAGTATGTATCTGCTGCTGTTTTTGAACTTTTCGTTATTGGACCGCGGTTGACATCGCTGTGGAGAGTGGCGATTTGCGTCTCCTCCCTGTCTCCCGGCCACAGCTCCTCTCACCCTCTGGGTGTGTAGGTGTCTGTGTTCGGTTAAGGGTGTTGAAGGCTGATGTCGCTTTGAGCGTGCAACTGTAATTCATCCCTGAGGCACTTAAATGTGGCTGGTTAGTGGCATAGAGATAAGTGTCCTTTTCTTTTTCTCTAGTGCTGTCAAGGTGACAGAACTCTAACCCTCTTCTCAACCCTCTTTTCGTGGACACTTCTTCCTTCCTGGAGCCAGCATGGGTGCTGCTTAGGAGGTCTAGTGCCCACCTGTTGTCCTGGGGGTGTCTTTCACCATTTTCCTGGTAATGCCCTTTTCGTCTCTCTTGTATTTTTCATATGTTGTCCTGTATCTAGTGATTCTTTCTTGGTTTACTCCTCTTTTTTAATGGAAAATCTTCTAGGATCTTCCTGAGAAAGGGGACATGGGAGACAAAATTTATTACATCCTTTGTATCTCTAAAAATATTTTCTCACATGTTTGACAATTTGACTGGTTTCTGGATAGGAAAACATGTTTCCTCAGGACTTTGAAGCCAGTGCACCGTTGTTTTTTTGTTTCTACAGTTGCTATTAAAAAGTGTTATACTCTTCTGATCCCTGTCTTTGTAGACCTTCTCCCCCCTGCTTCCCCCCACCCCCTGCTTTTTTTAAAACAACCCTAAAGAGGTTTTGGGATTTTCTTTTTTGGCACTCTTCATTTCAGCCACTATGATGAACACTTGATCTGGAAAAAAAAAAAAAAAAAAAAAACATGCCCTTCAGTTCTGGGAGACTTTCTCGTATTTTGTGATACTCTCTCCCCTTTTATTTTCTCTTTTTTCCCTCTGATCCTGCCTCTGAATTCCTATGAGTTAGGCAGGACCTCCTCGTTTGTCCTCTGATGCTCTAATTTTCCTCTGTCTTAATGCCCTACTTTTAACGAGGTTTCTCTACTTTATCTTAACCTTCTGAATTTCTGCTGTCCTTATTTTTCAAGAGGTCTTTCTTTGTGTGTTTAATTACTGTGCATTTTAGCAGCATTCTGTCCCCACTCACCCCCTTCCCTGCAATGGGTGCATTTCTTCCTTTTCTGAGGATGTATCTTTTGCTGTCTTGGTTTCTTTCTTCCTGTTTGTGTAGGTGTCTGACTTTTATGTTAGGAACTTGACCTCACTGCTGATCCTTTAGGGCTTCCCAGGTGGTGCTAGTGGTAAAGAACCTGCCTGCCAATGGAGGAGACGCAGCGGTCTTGGGTTCCATCCCTGAGTTGGGAAGATCCCCTGGAGGCGATCATGGCAACCAACTCCAGTGTTCTTGTCTAGAGAATCCCATGGACAGAAGAGCCTGGCAGGCTACAGTCCGTGGGATTGTGAAGAGTCAGACACGATTGAAGTGACAGCACACACAGTGATCCTCTCTCTGCTCCTCTTTAAAGGGAGCCCCTGAGAAGTGAGTCGGGTGCCAGGGTCTGTGGGTGAGGCCTCTCCTCCTTGCATCTTCACAGCACGGCTGTCGAGGGTGAGCCTTGTGGCTTCGTTGGGGAACTTCCAAAGACAGTATCTGTGGGTCTTCTCCCTGGGGTGAGTCAGTGTTATTTAGGGCAGTCCTTTGGTCTTCTATCTGGGCAGAGCATGCCGGGGTCCAGGGAGTGCAGTAGAGAAAGAGCTGGAATCTCAGAGCTCAGTGTGTGGATTCGTGTTTGATCCCCTGCTTTCAGAACAGTGTTCTCTGCTCTCCCTGGTGTCTTTGAGCCAGAGCTCAGTTTCCTCCAGGAAATAAACTGTCTCCTGCTGGAACTGGGGAGAGGACCTGGGGTCTCATATTATTCCTTATATAATCTTTCGAAAGTCTTCCTGTAGAAGTATAACGAAGGTACAGTTTGATAGTTTTCCACAAAGGAAGCACGTGT